CCCCACTAACCTGCTTTCCAGCTCCATTCTCCTGTGCAGGGCAACAAAAGAAGACCCAGCCAATGGGGGCGGGACCAGTCAGAGGTGGTATTTGCCAGTTCTTCTAACTACTCAAAATTTCTACTACCAGTTCTCCAGAACTAGTCAGAACCTGCTGAATACCATCTCTGCCGTGACCTAGATAATTAAATTGGATACCCACTTATGAGGCTACTGCCATACCCCCATAGACATTTTGTATATAATTACTTGGATTGTTTGTATGTTTACTTCTCTTCTGTCATGTTCTCATCATGCGCTAAATAAATAATTAAAAGTGATTAAACAATCCATGAATCTTTATATAAAGGAAATCCTTGACTTACAACCACTCATTGAATGACTGTTTGATGTTAAATAGCACTGAAAAATGACTTACAATGGGCCCTTATATTCACAACCATCACATCTCCACAATCACAGTTGATGTGCAACTTGGGGTCCTCCTAGGCCTTCCCATCTGGAAATGGGTGCAAGTTGCACATAAGATGAATCTGAGGCCTTATTACAGACCTACCTTGTATTTAAAAACAGGAGCCAGAAACTGGGACCTTTAAACAGGGCTTGTTATTTTTCACATGGTTTCTCACAAATGGTTCATTTAATCAACAGTTTGCTTAAATTTATACTAATGAGTGGGGCAAAGTGTCCCCAACCAAGTTTATTGATAGGTACAACTGAATATGAACTCAATTAATTGTGCAAACCCAAGACCATTTTTTCTGACATCAGATGGCAGAAAATTACACAGTTTCTAACTTGATTCTAATTTCATGCTTCTGAAATTAGAGAAAACCTGCTCATAATCTGCTGCTGGGTATAATCTAATAATGAGCAATGAACCACTGCTTAGTGGAAGAGAAGGGATTTTTTTTACTTGTTTGGGCATATCAAATAATACTCTTAAAGATATTTGTAGGACAGAGTTGAAAGCCAATTGTCAGCAAAAGAGGAACAATTAGGGGGCCTGCTTAAGTGCACCAGCGTGCCTACCGTCCCTGTCTTACTGTCCCCATTTATCTGTATTTACTTCCTTTGTTCATGTTTATGTTCATACCTATACTTGTTATTTTGTACGTTTGACAAATGAATGAATGAATGAATGAATGATATCCCCTTGTTTTTGCAACACCTTTGTTTCAATTGTGATAAAATGTGGCATGTGCTGTCAATTTATTGTGTCTTAACTGCATTGATGCATAGAATTTAGCAACTAAATTCTAAAATTTAGTTAGAGTTTACAATTTAGTTAGCTAAATAATAGTTAAAATGGAAATAATTATTTATCCTTAAATTCAAATGAGAGAAAGAGAAAAATTGATTGACTCAGAAACACTATTAACTACATTTATCATTAAAAATCCATGTGCTAAGGTCAGCACCTGGCTGATCTGTTGTTAGAAGACAACCTAAAACATTGTTTTATAAATAAATCTTTGTTCCTGCATGTTTGTCTGTGTGCATGTGCAAGCACACATGTGCACACCTCTGGGTCAATGCTGATGCCTGGCAACTGCCTAGACTAATTTTCTTGGTACAATTCTCAAAACTGGCTTGTCAATTATTTCTTTCTAGATTGAGGGCGAATAACTTACCCTTACTACTCAGTTGGTTTTTAACGTGAACCTAGAACTCACAGTCTACCAGTTTCTAGCCTGGTGCCTTAATCATTACACCAAACCAATCTTCCTACAAATCTTACTGATGTTTCTGCAATAAATATTTTAAATGGGAAAAAGTTAAATAAATCTGAAAGGTAAATCAATTATATTATCCCCGTATAATTGAAGCAAGAATATTTTTAATCAATAATTTCACTAAGACTCCAAGTAAATTTAGGACAGAGAAGGGGCACAGTACTTGTATTTCTAATCTATAGCTTAATTTGAAATTCACTATCTACTATTCATTCTGCATTTTATTTTATTTTTTTATTTTAATGTTTATATAGCTGCCCATCTTGTACCAAACTCTGGGCTGTGTACAATCAAAAAATAAAACATCAATTTCCAATAAAAATATTAAACCAAAAGACCTGACACCATAGCTAAACTTTACCCATGCAATCTACAATAAATTAATCTCACTATATCCCAGCATTTGAGGGAAAAGTCAGGCCTTCAGTGCCTTTTGAAAGGTTAAAAGTATGGAGGTCTACCAAACGGCAGGGAAGGGCCATAGGGCAGGGCCACCACAAAAAAAGACATGCTTCCTCAGTCCCATAAGATGACAACATTAAAGGGAGGGAATTAGGAGCATGTCCACCCTAAGGGCAGATGTCCTGGTAGGATGGGCAGATGTCTTTAAGGAGAGGCAGTCCCACCAATTATCAGGCTTATTCCTCCCAAAACATGCACAAAATACCTATTCTTCCACGTAAACCACACCAGGGTGCTCTTCTTTTGGCTTCAATCTTTCCCAATGTCAGGGTCTTTTCCAATAAGTCTTCCCTTCTCATTTGGTGGCTGAAATATTTGAGCTTCAGCTTTAGTATCTGTCCATCCAAAGAAGACGTGAGGGTTGGTTACCTTAAAGATTGACAGATTTGATCTCCTTGCAGAGTCCAAGGGGCTCTCAAGAGACTTCTCCAAAACCACAATTCAAAAGCATCAATTCTTTGGTATTTCAGCCTTCCTTATACACCGTTTGAGAATGCCAACTGCAGAAAATTTTCAAACCTCATATACAATAGTAATCCTGGGAAATAGTTAACCACATACAAATTGGCTAGGGACTATTAACTCCCATCTCATATAATGTCCTATTTGCTTGGAGGGGGTTTTTTCCCTAAAGGAGCAGCCAACTTCAGTAGTATGATAAGAGAAATGATCTTTATTTAAATCATGGCTAAGTTATATTAAGCTTACTTTTTTGCAATACTTCAAGATTCTGAACTGATGAACTTTGTGTAAAATAAATAAAAACAGTTTCCTCTCTGTTGGCTGGAAAACGATAAGATGTTTTGCCATCCAGATTATGTTGTTTGGAAACTGAAAAAAGCCAAGATGCCATTTTGTATTGTTGTTGTCAATGGAAAGCACACTCTTTTGTTGGCCGCTTGCCTCCAACTATTTATTATTGTTTCTCTACAAGGGCTTTGCAAAGCATGAACATGTGCCACCCTGGATTAACTCTGCCGGCACATAGGCACCCACCACACGAGGCACTGCCAATTAAACTGCCAAATGGCAAAAGAATATGTCAGTCTGATGGTAAAGCTTTCGTTTTCTTGTAATCAAGAAATCTTTGTTTTCAGCTACTCTGAATACCAAAGAAATCAAGGCCCATAACTTCAGATTTTTACAGGATTGAGCAACCATCTCATGTTGTCCTTACTGAAGATAGATATAATCTACAATTTTGTAAGGACATAGAAAGATTTATGCAATCACTGGTACAATTATGCTGCTCTTTGATTTGGATAACAGGGATAACAATAGCATTTAGGCTTGTATACTGCCCTTAGCACTTTACAGGACTCTCTGGGTGATTTACAAAGTAGAAGCATTATTTACATATTGCCCCCAACAATCTGGGTCCTCATTTTACCAACCTTGGAAGGATGAAACCCTGAATCAACTTCAAGCCCCATCAAGATCGAACTCCAGGCTGTGGGCAGAGTTTGCCTGCAATACTACACTTTGAATTTTCAATCAGAAGAGAGCTGGAAAGGGAACTTGGAGGTGTTCTAATCTAAGCCCCTGCTGAAGCAGGAGATTCTGTATCATTTCAGACACGTGGCTATCCAGTCTCTTCTTAAAAACCTCCAGTGATGAAGCACCCACAACTTCTGAACTTCTGAAGCCACTGTCCTACTGATAGGAAGTTTATCCTTAATTCCAGGTTGCTTCTCTCCTTGATTAGTTTCTGTCTAACCCAATAACCACTTTGCACTTTAACCACTACACAACCAGGGCTCTTTAATCATCTTTGCTACAAAATAATCTTATATGAGTCAAACCATCAGTTCATCTAGTTTTGCATTGCCTGTACATCGACTGACAACAGTCAGGGTTTTAGATTGAAGTCTTTTGCATATACACATATCCTAAAAATTTGTAAATGTCTCTTTCACATACAAAGCAGCTTTCTAAAAATCCATAGCTATGTCATAAACCACAAGCAAATCAAATGTGTTGTGCAAACCCAGCCAATGATTTGGTGCAATCATACAAACTAAAAAAAAAAATCCCTTATTTAAGTGAACCTTCATTTAGTTTATGATAGGTATAATATACAAAAACAGGGGGCTTATTTTGGAATAAGCATGCTTAGAATAGCAGGTACTTGTTTTCTTGCTTTTCCTGTATTGCATATACTTGTTTTGGCCCCCAATTCTACAATCATTCCCAAAAACCTTGCCCTAAATCTAAAGCAAAGCTGTAACCACACCATGAAAACAACAAACTGAAAACTCATTATCTAGGGCAATTAATGGAATATTCATCACTATATCTATAGTAATTAAAATAATCAATAAAGTATTGTTACCTCTCTTTAATTTCCTTCTAAGACCACAGTTTATAATACATGAAATCTTATGATGCAAACCACCAGCTAGTCTTTAATTCTCTTAAGAGAATCCTTCCTTCCTCCCTCTCTTCCTTCCTTCCTTCCTTTTGCACAAGGTTGGTGCGTTCATTGTTGGAGTACCACCCTCATCATTGCCACCGAAGTTAATCAAAGCTGGGAATGATGGAGTTACAGTAACTCTCTCTCTCTCTCTCTCTCTCTCAAGGGAAAAGACGAAATCCCACTCCCACCATCTGCTCCTCCCTCCCAGTTCCAAACCTCGCCCATCGGACTAGGTGCTCCGTTTTACCCGCAAGAGAGGCGAAGGTCTTATCCTATCCCGCCTTCTCTCGGGATCCGGCGGGGCGGCGGCAGCAAGTATGAAACTTCCCCGGCCGGTGCTTTCCTTCCTGTTCTTTGGGCTGCTTCTTGTCCAGCAACGTGCTGAGATGCCCGGACGAACTTACCTCTACGACAACCGTTACGCTGGGTAAGTCTACTTTGTTTTTGCTCCCTAACTTATCACTCAGATTTGTTAACTAGTGTTTAAATCCAGTTCTCGCTTATTAGAGACAACGTGTCCTTATTGCTGTATTTATTATCGGGATAAGTATAATTGAACACAGTAATATTGGGCTTTTTAATGAAATAATGTTATCCTTTAGTGTTACTTTTTTTGGCACAGCATGGTCTCTCCTCCTGGGATTTAGGAAACTTTTTAAAATCTGGCTGCTCCAGAAGGACTAATGAGACAAAGGATCCTTGATGTGGAAGGAAGTGTACAGTGGTGGTTGCATTTGTTAATAGTATTTACAGATAATGGGGTGTGTAAGGTGTTCAGAGTTAATGTCCATTTGTGTGGCATGCAAGCCCAGAAAAAAACAAATAAATGAGTAAATAATAAAATAATGAGCAAGTAGAGTTGTGTTTGTGGAACTATATTAACCCAGACTGGGAGAGGTTCATTTTAGTGTGGTAAAAAGAAATGTGAAAAAACAAGAAACAATAATTATTTTTGAATAATTTCTAGCCTTTCATGTTATCATTAGTATTTTTATTCAAAGATGAGTTCCCTTAAAAGTATGCAAAATTCAGAAGCAAAGCCCATCATACACACTACATTGTGACATGAATTATGGCAAAGGAAGGCTTGGGCACTGATCATGATATTGATCAGAATGTATAACTTAATTTTCCTTATGCTTATTTTGTTTTTTTTTAAAAATTGGTGTTTTATTTATTCTCCATCGTTTTCTGATTGGTTGCCATATTTTGCTATTTTCCACCCTTCTTTTTGATCCTTTCAGCTTTTCAACAATCTTCATATAGCTTAGTTTTATGCAGTGCAGTTCTGTTAATCGCGGGAACGGAATGGCCTGGACCCTTAATGGGCAAAACAAACTAAACGGACTGAAATCTAACTGAAAAGGGGTTCTGTTATGTCCACACCCCCATTATCTATATAAACCAGCTCAGGAGGCTGTTAAACTAATTGAATTCTAAATATTCTGCGCAACATACAACAAAATGTGAAATAGTTAAAATTATAAGTTGCTAGACAATTCAAAATGGGGATTTGTATAGAGTAATGCACTAATTATGCAAAATATGTTGCTTAAAAGAATGAAAGTTGTGGCTTATACGTATACTGACTTTTATATAAAAGAAATCACTAGAAATATGTAAAGAATGTACAGGTTCAAAATAGTGATTTAGTTTATACTTTGAAGCTTCAGGATGTACAGGTAGTCCTCGACTTATGACCACAATTGAGCTCAACATTTCTATTGTTAAGTGAAACATTTGTTAAGTGAGTTTTGCCCTATTTTACAACCTTCCTTGCCACCATTGTTAATGAATCACTGAAATGGTCAAATTAGTAACACAGTTGTTAAGTGAATCTGGCTTCCCCATTTACTTTGCTTGTCAGAAAGTCACAGAACGTGACCCCAGGACATTGTAACTGTCATAAATATGAACCAGTTGCCATGCATCGAAATTTTGATCACATGACCACAGGATGCGGCACATGTGGTCGTAAGTGTGAAAAATGGTTATAAGTCACTTTTTTCAATCCCGTTGTAACTTTGAATGGTCACTAAATGAACTGTTGTTAAATCAAGTACTATCTGTACTTCAACTGTCCTTTGTCATTTGTGTTTCTTTCTCCAATATATCCAATTTTGCTCTCTGCCCGGAGAGTATGCGGTATTATAGTCAACTATTTACTTCCATTGGAGAAGGAAGGATTTTCTAATTATTTTGTATTTGCCAAGTATATATTTTATCCATTAATGATGATTATCAGTGAAAACTTCTGTGTGAAAGATAAACATAGTAAGCAAAGATAAGGACTATAGAGCAGAAGTAAGGACTATATAGGTTTACAATGAAATATGACCTTACCTCAGTAAAAACAATATATTTGTTATATATTTTATAGAGAATGGTAAAATAGATAAATTCAATAATTTGTCCATCAGATTATGTTAACTACAGACATCACTCCATTTTTCAAATTTTCATTTAATCTAGTGGAGTTCAAATTTTAGTATTATAAATCTCAGACCAAGTCTGTTTGAATGTTTTGCATGCATATGGTGGTGTTCAATGTAGCTGACAAGCAACAGCATCATACTCTAGTTTGAGAGCATATAGAGAAAAAGACATACCTGTATAGCATATCTGCAGTTCATTGTCTAGTATGGGTTGTAGCTTATTAATAATGCATTTGAGCAGCTTATCAAGTGTAAAATGGTCATTATGTTACTTAAATTTTTTTTAGGGATTGTTGCTTTACATTTCCTTTTTAGATACACATGAAAGCTTTCCTCAACCTTCAGCAGGTAGCAGTCAAGCCAAGGGCTATGCTGAAGAGAGAGTTCCAGTGAATCAGAGTAAAGGAACACATCAAAGTAAACAGCACAGCTGAAAGATTCTTGTATTAGGGGAAAGCTCAGCAAATAAGTATGGTAGCAGCTGAAAGCAAGGCTGGATTTCCTGTTCCTTGCTCTCTTGTGCTAAAATGAGCTGATCTAGTTAATCCAGGTTAGCATAAACGCTTCAAAATAAATAATACATGCCAGAAGAAAGCATTTCCATTGCTCAATCTGTTTCAGAACTACGCAACATGTGCTGAAATTCAATGCTAGTATTTGCCTTTGATCAGTCTTGCTGGGAATTACGGTAGTTGAAGATCAACCCATCTGGAGAATACCACATTAAGAAAGTTTAACACAGATTAATATATTTTATTTCTGCTTCAAGGTTACATCATTTAGTATTTAATTTTCTTGCTAAAATAGTATCCTATTTAGGATTTTATTTTAATATTATTTTACAGGCATAAGGTGATACGGATTATACCAGAAAATGACCAAATGGCAGAGACATTGAAGATTCTTTCTCAACAACTTAAAGTGAGTGTGTGCTTTGTAGTGCTGTGTACTATATCATAAGTGTAGTTTTCTGCCCATAAATCAAGGGATCTGAAGTGAGATTTTCAGTGCAGGGATGGTTGTGGATCTGCAAACAGAAGTACAACTCCCAACAACAGTAACCAGCATGACTGCTGATCAAGGACACTGGCTGATATAGTTTACAAATATTTTTTAAGGCTACAAGTTCTTAATACATGGTGTAAAGCAGGGGTGTCAAACTCAAGGCCTGAGGGCCCACAGGGTGCTTAGACCTGGCCCATGAGCCCACCCTTGTAACAGGAAAAGACCAGCCCACAGTGCCTCTGCCAGTGAAAAGAGAGTTCAGGGAGGCCGTCCGTGGCCATCCTGAGTTCCATTTTTGCTGGCAGAGGGCTTCAGGAGGGTGTCACAGCCAAACACGGAGCCTGGGCACAGCTTTCCCGAGCTCCACTTTTTCTGGCAGAGGGCTTCAGGAGGCTGTTGTGGCCGAAAATGGAGCTCGGGAAGGCTGATGTAGCTGACAATAGAGCCTCAATGAGTGACATCGAGCTGGCCACTTCCACCCTGGCCATGCCCCTCCCTGGCCCCCTGAAGTCAAACACAACTTTGATATGGCCCTCAATGAAATCAAGTTTGACACCCCTGGTGTAAAGGATTACTATGATACATGCCATCAAAAGCTGAAGGTTTTTGAATTCTTAAGGTTCTAGTTAACCAATTATAGTCTTTAACTAGTTGAAAGAGCTGATGGAAACAAGCAACCTTTGATTAAAAGGAAGCCATAGCCTAAAAAATTATCTTAGATTATTTGTCCTGTTTAGCCTGGTGTTATTCTAATTAGATTGCTCTAATCTTGGAACCCTGGCCAAGTCTTCACATTATTTAAAGCATAAATCTTTTGATGCAAAACACTATTAAAACTCTACCATTGAGCTTTCATCTCTTCAGATTTTTATTTTTACTGCACAGTGCAAAGCACTTGCTATAGGACTTTTTCAAACAGAAAATTTGGCCCTGAAGAATTGAGTTTACTTGAGTTCTAAATGGTTGCCACATTTTTGAATTGTTTGTATTTTGATGTGACAAGCCACCCTCTAACTGTATTCCTGCTTTTAAAGCAACTTTCTTTTTGAGTAGTACCTATATGTAGTCATATGTTACTCTCCTAGCTACCTTTCTAGCAAAATATTTTGTGAAATACATCACAAAATATATTTTGTGAATCATCCTAGGTGGAAGACCTTTTTTTGCAAAGAGCTACATTGGAACAACAGTTAGAATTACACTAGCAATGCAAACACACCTGGAGTTTGCTAATTGGAAAAGTCTGGTGCTAAGATTAAAAATGCACATTAAAACTAAATCAAATCCATGTTGTGTAGTGCTTATTTACAAAATTTATTTCAGTATTTTTAAGGTAAAATAAGATGCAGAACTGGTTAAAATAATTGAAATTTGAATTTAGGTTTTTTCCATTGAAAATGAAGTTATACAAACCCTAGTGCTCAAAATATGTCTACTTCTCGGTGTGCAGAAAATCTCAACAAATTGTTTACTAATGATTCAGCAATAATCTCAGCTATTTATTGAAAATTTTAAGAGGATATTCTCTTTGATCTCTTAATATCGTGGGTGTTTCCAATCTAGACTGAATGAATGTGAATTACAGGTTGGTTGCTGCACTACAGGTGGACCTGTGGCAACCAAGAAGCCTGTCTCTCATCTCCAAGGGTGCAGTTACAGATGTACATCTGTCAAGAAATAGTTCACAGATTCTTCAGTTCTCCTTAGAGCAAGCAAACATCCAATATACGTAAGCATAGATTTTAGCGGCTTTTGTATTATGTTTTAAAATCTTCCTAAGCAATAATCAATATGCTAGCATGTCCTTGTAATTAAATAATTTGAGAGTATCTTTCAAATGCTATTTGAAGAGAAGTTGGAAAGAGTTCCTGTGATAAGTATCTAATTATAGAGTCTTCTTTATAATGTAGACTAGTGTCTCCTTAGTGCAGGGGCCTCCTTTTGTTTGTTAAAAAAAACACCAATAATTGTCAGTAGTACAAGCATATTGTGACTTCAAGAATCCACATGTTTTTAAATTATGTGCTTGAATGTATATTTATTACGGTGCACTATGCCAGCCAACACCTGTCACATTATAGCAATTAATGGCACAATTTAACAAGCATTTATCAAATGGAAAGGATAAGGATTTGTCTGTCAAGGAAATTATAATGGGTAAATGAATCTTACTTTATTCAGAAAGCTGACATATAGTTTCTTAACTTTCCCTTACTGTACTTTTCTTGACATTATATATTCAAACTTTCTGAAGGTCTCATGGCTAAAAGAATCACCTCTGAGCACAAGAAATTGGCGAGATTTGAGCAAAACCTGAGCACAGCAGATAATTCTGGGGTGCTGAAAGTATTCCTGACACACTGTTGGTGCTTCTTTCTTGACACTCAACAAGTGTTTTTATATTAAGAAAAAGAAATGTTTAAAAAATGAAACTTGTCATCTGCAAACCAAGCAGGCTAGCTAAGGGATTGACCTCTCAATATGAACCTGTCCAGTTTCTTGGCTGATGAAGATAACGGAAATAACTATAGAAGGATTCAAGAAAGGGATATGAATCCCTGTTTAGGTTTTTTTGTGGGGGATAAATTGGCAAACAGCCTTCCCAAGCAACCCAGGTAATCTTCAAATTTCAAAAGTACTCATTGTTTTTAGCAGCATTTCCTGAGGGCATTTGCACCTCCTGCCCACTCCTCAGCTTTTAGCTACTTATTTTAGCTACTTATCACCCAAATTCCTTTAGATAAATACTGTAGTTATTACAAATGAAAGCGAATATATGTGTCCCAGAATAATGTTGCAGGATCCAATCTATGTCAATCACCAGGACTAGAGTTTTTGTCTTCTGAGCTTTTGGACTCGTGCTAGAGCCCATCTCCAGGGAACTACTTCTCTTTGGATGAAGATGGGATCCAGTCCAAAAGGAAGATGGGATCAAGTCCAAAAGGTTGGGAGGCAAAACCTCTGGTCCCGGTAACCAACCCAGATTGGACCCTGCACTGTAGTTATTGTTTCACTTGAGCATGTATTTTATTACCACTCATAGATGAAGAAAATATATTTTAAATGCTGGTTAATTCATTTTTATTTGTTTCTTCAGTCAATTAAAACACTTTTCTCTGTTTTGTTTGTTTTTTGGGTTTTTTCCCCAACTTATCGCTGCATTCCAAAACACAATGTTTGCTTTACAACATGCTACATTATGTTCTTCCTGTCAATTTTCCTGGGTTTATTAAATGTCATAAATAGTCTGTACAGTGTTAAGGTGTTTACTTTAGCTATATACTGTAACTTTTCATTCTTTTGTATTATACCATGCATTTATTTAAAGTGTTCTTTTCTTTTTTGTTTTCCGTTTAATAGAGTCCTCATATCTGATTTGCAAAAAACTATAGAAAAACAAAGTGATTCAAAACCACCCAGGAATCGTAGATCATTGCCAGAATATAGTTATGAAATATATCATTCCCTGGAAGAAGTATGTACAGTATTATATATTTGTGCACTCTCATGTTTTCATTCTTATATAAGAAAAACAATAGCAAAATAACATTTTTCTTGGCTTGTTTAACAAAAATTAATCTTTGATATAAGATTTTAAAATTTAAATATTGGAAAACCTGGTAAGAGGCAGAAAACTAGAACTTTTATTTTATGTTGTACTTACTGTATATAGTTATATTTATTTTATTCAGTGACAAAAGAAAATCATATATACATGTATCTTTTTCTCTCTTTTTTCCCAGATTCAAAGTTGGATGTATTATTTGAACAAAACTCATTCTGATCTCATTTACATGTTCTCTATTGGCAAGTCATATGAGGGAAGACCACTTTTTGTGCTAAAGGTAAATTTTGGCAAAACATTATTGGTGCATAAGTACATGGTGCCTAAATTAGGTAGCATCAAGATAAATGAATAAGGAAATATTTGTGGAAGCAAAATGTAATATTGTATATTTGCCCTATATCTGAAGTCACAAGCTGAGGGCCCAGCGTGTCACTTACAATCCCTGAAATCCTTGAGTGGACATCACAGAAAGCTGCCAAAACTTGCCAATAGCTTATATTATTTTTAATGTATTAGAAGGGAAAAAAAATAAATGCAGAAAGAATTCATACTGACTCCACTTAAATAGACTCATCAAATTTTTGCTTATTCCAGTATTTTCCAATATGTAAACACAGCAGGTTACTTAAAGGCCAGTTGTGGTGCTCTTCTCAAATAGCAACTCCTATTATATACATTTATATAAAAACACAGAATCATTTTTTTTAGAAATGTTAGCTATAAACAGTTGTTCACATATAGAAATCTTTTGCTTTGCTTGAAAATAAGAACCATAGAGTTGGAAATGACCTTGTGATCTAATCCTAGGAGTTCAAGAGGGTCTATTCAAAGAATAATTCCAGTCTGTTGCTCTGATAGAGATACTGCTTCTGCAAGTTGCTATGATTCTTACAGTCTTCTGTTCAGAGGAGATATTCACTAAAACTTTCTTACTGGGAGTCAGCTTATCAGAGTTTAATTAATTCATATTAGCTTTTGTTCCTAGTTCCTAATCTTGGTAATATGTATTTTTTATTTCTTTGAATGGCGTTGTGTAATTATTCCTTATAATTTGTGTTTTGGTATTTAATTTAGAATTTTCAGGATGGATACCAAAGGAGATGCCTAAATGGCAACAAAATTTTAAGAAAGTTTATGAAATAAATGTCCCCAAATATAATCAAACCATGGGTGGGGGGGAGTGTCTTAGGCTGCAATGAGCCCAGGTGGTGAGGACAGTCTCCAGAATTTGACTCATGAACATATTTCCCCATGACAGATATTTGTCCCATTCCTCCACCCTTAGCAATGGTTACCCCCGTGATGGGATAATTAACTAATGAGTTGTGTGTGTGCATACAGGTAGTCCTTGGGTAATGATAGCAACTGAGAATTGCTACATTATGAAGCAATGCTGTCATAAAATGTGATGATGCATGACTGTATTACTTAGCAACAGCAGCTCCCAGCAGTCCCCATTGTTGTTGTTAACAGAATCTCACTATTCATTAACCAAGGACCCATCCTGATTCAAACCATTCCCAGTTTGGTCCTTTCCAACCCTGAGCCTTAAAAAGACTGACTCCTCTTGAACTCCTCTCACCCACATGCCCCATCCTCATCTCTGATCTTTCAACCATCCTGCACAGTAGTTCTCCTCATTGGTCACCTTGGGACACTAGGGACACTAGATCCACTGAGGACTTGTACCTCAATCCCTGTGCAGTGGCTGGCCACCTCAGGATCACAGGGTAAAACCCAAGTGCCTCCACCACCCTGTGTTCTACTGGCCCTGCCGCCCCAGCTGACAGTTGCCATCTGTAAGGCAGATGCTGGCTGCACCAAGTCTTTTTGATGCTACGTACATGCTTCTTCAAACCTGGATGGAAAAGCTGTCACTTATTAACTTACCAAGGTCAAAGCAGAGATTTGCCAGCAGCCTGAGCCAGACTAGAGTAACTAATTTATTTATTAAGGTCATGGAATAGAGCCTGTTAGCTTCCAGTTAGTGTTTATTAGGGAGGTACCATAGAGAAAAGCCACTAAAGAAGAGAAAGCTTATTCAAGCAATCTCTCCACTTAGCAAGAGGGAGAAAAAATATGCAAAAAATAAAGGTCAAACATAGGTTAGTAATATAGTATGTTCTCTTGAAACTATTGCAAAATGAAAGTACACATTTTTGTTAGATAATTAACTCAGAAACCAAAGATATAGAAAACTATATTAAGCTAAAGGCGACCTACTTCGTCTACTACAGTATTTCCATACTCTGTTTAGGATCTATTATAAAGGGGAACATTTCACTAAGTAGCTGCCTGTCATTGGCAGAATACGTGCTTCAACCTTTTTCAATCCATCCATAGTTTTCTTTTTCTCATGTATGTATTTTTACAATTTCAGCTAGGCAAAAGAACAAGGGTTCATAAGAAAGCTGTGTGGATTGACTGTGGCATTCATGCAAGAGAATGGATCAGTCCAGCTTTTTGCCAGTGGTTTGTGAAAGAAGTAAGGATGATTTTTTAAAAACTACCATTATATTTTGAAATCAGAAAAGGTTCTATTATACAAAGTATGTTCTCAAAGCAGAGGGAATTGTTACAATATTTAACTAGGCTTTAGATATCTATATCTGATATTTCAATTTTATAGTTGGTGAAAATGTTAGCACCATGATACTGCTGAATTCAGAGTCTTTGCTAAATAAGAATAAAATTGTGCAACCTAGATTATAAGTTTCCTTATCTTAATGACAATCATTGATAAATCTCTAATTTGAGTAAGTATTGTTGACAAATTCACAAAGATAATAAAGAGCATAAAAATAATCTCATAACAATATTATTGTGCTGATGAAATGAGTTCCCAACATCAGTCAAATAAATTTGTAAGCTTGATTTTCTTTGCCCAATTGCTTGGCCTGGGATGGACAGTGCAGAGATTTTCAGCAGCATAAATTTCTCTGTTTATTAAGGACTTCATTTACTGTATTTATATCCTATTTTTTCACCAAAATGAATACATATGATAGTGTCTAACTGCAGGATAGAACTATTTTTGATGTTAGGAAAGTATTATAATATACTGTATATGAGAAGCTGCAAGGTGTTCTCTTGTGAAGTATGATATAAACATGTTTTAAAGGATTAGGAGCAACTGGGATTAAGAGGTGTCTATTGTTTTTTCTTATAATTATTTTTTATTTAAAAGAATTCCATTATTTGAGGATTATCTGCCTATGTTTTTTCTTAATATGTCTTGCATTTGGAAAGATAAAAGTTGTTGAGAACTAAGGAGAGCAGTGGCTTTGATATTGCATAGTTCAACATTGTTGTCTACTCTCAATTATAAAGATTTCAAGAATTTTACAAAGATGTAAATATATTAGACATGGAGGATGTGTGTGTGTGTGTGTGTGTATGTGTATATATATATATGTGTGTGTGTTTTCTCAAGTTTTCGCGGGTACTTACGTGTATGGCATTCAGCTTTGTTCGGGTATTTTCCCACGTCATTGTAGTTGTGCTTTTAAAGTTGTAGCTACAACTTTAAAAGCACAACTACAATAACGTGGGAAAATACCCGAACAAAGCTGAATGCCATATATATCTATATCTATATATCTATATCTATATCTATATATCAAATAATATTTTATTTGGAAAATAATTATGGCCTAAAAATATCTCAAGCACTTAAGAAAAAGTACTCTTGTACTTTTAATTGTATTTCCATTTTATACATTTTATAGTTTGTATTTTATTTTAGTTAGTAATTTAGATCTTGTTATTCTTTGACTTATATGCCTGAGCTCCTGCCAAGGAAGGTGAGTGTTGTTCACTTTCTAGTCCTTTTGAGGTATTTAGCATAAAGGAAATGGACGTATACATTTCTACTGTTGACTGGTGATCCTTATTTCAAACTGTGAACAATAGAGAAGGGCAAAGCCATACATATCCCCTTGACTTTCTTGATATAGACACATTACATGCTTGTAGTATGTTAATTCATTATGCAAATTCAAAAATTCAAATTCAAAATCAGGGTGCAGTACAATATTATCATTACCACAAGGAGGCATGCTAGTCATGTTTATCTACATAACTACAGATGCTTGCAGTGCTTTTCAGCAATAGCTTACTTAAATGAAATTTGGAGTTTGTGCAAGATACTAATTGGATGTCTGGAATAATGAGCCTAGATACTGTAACTAATAAGTACATTAAATTACATTATCTTCTATAAAGATGAGTTATTTGTTGGCTTCAGGGCAAGCACTGTTCTTTTAGCAAACTAAAAGAATAAAACTGAACATTCTTCCACCTTAAAAATAGTTCATTCCTGTTTTTCACTGCATGAAGAATGTTGCAGTGTTGGTTTCTGCAACTGCAGAAACTACAATATTTGACAACTGCTATTACCATAAAATTATGGCAAGTTCGGAAAGTACCTTCACCAATGTAGTCTTTTAAAATAGCGGTTGCCAACTGGTGGGCTGCGAGAAAATTTTGGTGGTCCACAGAGAAATGTCACCCCCCAGGGTGCCCCACAAAGCAATTAATCCAGGCTGTGCGGGAGCACAAGGCTGTGCTGCCCACATGGCCCGCGGGAACCCTCCCCGCCCACTCACTCCTTACCTTGCAAACTTGCCTGCTAAGTTGCTATTTTTCTTTTTTCCCCAACCATCAGCTGTTCTGCTGTGCTGGGAGATTTAGATTAGCTAGAAAGCAGGAAATCATTGCATTTCTTGCTTTCTAGTTAGTCTTTAGATCTTCCACTCTGCTTAAGCAAAGCCGAACCTTCCTTAGGACTGAAGCTTCTATTATTCAATGCAGACTCACTGCAAACAATTTTTATGTGACAGACTCAGGTAGCCGATGGCAGATAGATCTCTGAATAATTCTCTTAGCAACTCAATCTGCCTGCCTGCTTTTTTGGGGGGGTAAAAGTTGCTCTTTTTAAATAAAAAAAAATATTTACATAAATATTTATAATATTTACATACAAGCCATGCCCAGCCAGTCACATCAAGCCACACCCACAAATTAGACCATGCCCTCAGAACTGGTTAAGAAATTTGAAACCCACCCCTGCCTCTGTGTGTTTGTTTGTGTGTGTGAGAGAGAGAGGAGGGGGGAGAGAGAGGTTAGATCAGATCTCTCTCTCTCTCTCTCTCCCTCCCTCCCTCCCTCCCCCCTCTCTCTTTCTCTCTTTCTCCCACCAACATCAGCAGGCCACCATTAGTCAAAATTCATACTAGTGGTCCCTAGGATTTAAAATTATGAGTTTGGTAGTCCCTGAGGTCCAAAAGGTTAGCAATCTGTTTTAAAATATGCTTGCTAATGCTGCCCAGAGTCACTTTTTGTGAGATCGGCAGCCATATAAATGTGATAGATAGATAGATAGATAGATAGATAGATAGATAGATAGATAGATCTCATAAACACAAATACAGCACAAATGCCTACTTTGCTGGATGTCCCTTGGTTGCCAAAAGCTTCCTGATCCAAGTCAAAGTGCTGGTTATTATTCTATAGCAATAATTCTTTATGATTTAGTACTGAGCCAAGAGTTTGACAGCCCTGGCTTAGGTCCTTATTCCGTTTGGGGCAGATGCTGTTTGTCCAGTCTGTGCTGGATAAATGGGCAGATTGAGAATTCCTTCTGCATAAGAAGTGAAGGGGAAGGAAGATGGAAACAGGCCTTCTTGATTTCATTTTGGAATAACATACTTCTTCCTTTAGTTACAATTTTATAAAGCAGTGAAGCCTATGGTTTTCCAAGAGGCCTCAGGGTGAAGAGTGCAATTAGAAGCATGCTGGAAGAAGTAGGTTTATTTTAGTTCTGAATTGGCTTGATGTATTTTATTTTGTTTGAATATGTTTATATAATATGTTTTATTCTGAGCTATCTGGAATTTTTAGAAAAGGCAGCATAAAAATACGTATAGCTATTTTTTAAGAGTTCAAGAAACTGGATCCCTGTTAGCCCTGTGAGATTGTCCAAGCAAGAAACACAACCAGGAGTACTATCTTTATTATAAGCTTATGTTAATATTGTAGCACAAGACTGAAAATATTTCTCATTTCCTTTCCTTTTACTTTCCAGAAAACTAGAGGTCTCTTCTGAAATGTTTCCCACATCCTCCTTTCTTCTGAGGACTAAAATATCTTTTACCTGCCAGTTGTCTAGTCTGTAGTTTTCCCTCCTGCCTCTCCAGGTTATTTCCAAATACCATTACACTCTTCCAGAGGTTCCTAAGTGTTCCTCCATCAGTACTATTTACTTTAAACACACTTGCTGTCATCTCCAACTGGATGTGTGTGTGTTGGGGGTGGGGGTACTTCCTCCTTCCATCCTTGGGCACCACAATAAAGAAAAATCCAAAAATTCCATTGCTTGCATTAGTAAAACACTAAGATAGATATTTAACATTATTTACATATCTCGTGGATATGTAAATAATGTTAAATTATAGCAAGCTATTGAAGAGGGGGGGATGAATCTCCCCCCATGTCTTCTAGAAAGGCTTATTCAATTTGTATGCAAGAGACTGCAGTCTCCTTAAATGTGTGTATGAGATCTCAAAAGCTTCTTGCTATTTGACTCAAACCGATTCTGCTCCTGCCTTGCAAAATGCCCACAGCAACAGTTCTGACTGCAAAAATTTCATGTAGCAATTTCTCTGGCTGTCTTCCTGAATGCTCAATTCCGTGTCATGGACTATACAATAGCTCGTCCAAATTGGCCTGTCTAAATCCAGGTTGCTTCTTCCTTTTGTTCAGTTTTGAGGCACCCCTCTAGACAAGTTAGCAATTTTCTCATTGATGAAACTACCAGCTTCTTTCTTTTCTCATTGACCAAGCTACTGTAGGAGAGAGAGACAGAGAGAGAGGGGGGGGGGGGGACTGGCAGAGCCAGGGGGAAGACTTAAATGAGCCATCTCCCTCTGGCTCTGCCAGTCTCTTTTCTGCAGCCAATTAATATTCCTTTTTCTTAATAGTAATTTTATTTAAAAATTTCATAATAACAATAAAAACTAACATACTTTTTAAAGAAAAGTTAGAAGAATTAAAAAAAAGAGTAGATGGCCAAGATTGGTGTGCTCCGGGTTCCTTCAAGTAAATAATGTTAGCTCTCAGGACCTTGGAAGTCTACATTCTCAGTAGAAGCACCTGTGTTTGGGAACAAGGTTTCTCCCTGAGATCCAAATGGTCCCTATTCTGCTGTTATTCAGAAAAGTCATGAAGTCGTATCTCTTTAACCTGGCCTTTAGCAAGGGAAAGTGACTGGATGTGTTTAATTTTGGTCGCCCACTGGTAGCCAAAGAAGGAGGTCAGCTAATGTCAGAAGCTCAGTACTAATATTTCCTTACAGTAAGAACCATAATAATGAATGTTTTGGGAAGTAGGAGACTAATCAATTGACTGTTGTCTAAGCTTTCATTGACAGTTATTTTATTAAGTTAAAAGTGGGCTAGGATCTCTGAAAAATCACATTACAAAATTTCTGAACTACAGAAATTATATTATTTCAACTATGTTTATGTACCAGGCTCTTCAGACATATCAAAATGATTCAGCCATGAGAAGAATGCTAAATCAATTGTATTTCTTTATCATGCCTATTTTTAATGTGGATGGATATCATTTTAGCTGGACACAGGTAAGAAATATTTCAACATTAGGGTATAAATGAAAAATATTAATATTAATATTAAAGAAGTATGTTAGGAAAAAAGTTTAAATATTTAACCTCACTCTCTGTGAAAAGATTTGTCATAAGCATAACATAGTGTTTTATCTGTATATATGTTTCATTTCCATCTTTAAAAATCTATGCCTAGGATCGATTTTGGAGGAAAACAAGATCAAAGAATTCAAAGTTCCACTGCCATGGAGTTGATGCTAATCGTAATTGGAAAGTAAAATGGTGTGGTAAGTCTAGAAATAATACGATTTTCTTTTCTCATTAGCCAATTAAATTAACAATGTGTCTATAAAACAGGTAAATATATAGTAAATATGTATCTGATGATATTGTTGGAGTAATTTCAGGATCAAATCCCTCTTTTTACTTTTGACTATAGAGTCCTTTGTGTCTTAGTGCTGGCATTGGAACTTTGTTTGACTTTTGATCAGACTATTATACAACCATCCTGGCTTCCCAATTCAAATAACATCCAAATTTTGGCCTGTTTACAAATATGTGTTCATATCCCATCTAATTATTGAGGCTTTGAAACAGCTAAAAAAGTAAATATAAGAATAATAAGAATATTAAATGCTAAAAATAGAAATAGTCAAAAATAATTCTAATTTTCAGGGAGCACAATGATTAAATCTTAAACACAAGATGGACTTTTGCTAGCTTGTAAAATATAGTAATGAAAACACTAGAGAAATATGACTTTGAAAATCATTCAAAATCATTCATTATTGAATATCCTCTCAGCAGACCTATCCATAAGCTCCAAGAGCTTAACAAACAGGTTCATGTGGAAGACGATGGATCCAGATAGTGAAATGGGGAGTCCCAAATTAATAATAAATAATTTCAGAACAAAAGTCCCAACTTCCAATTAATTAAGTTCCTAATTTGCACAGACAGATAAGAGTTATGAGGCAGTGACATTTTAGCACCACACAGAAATAGAAATGAGAATCGATTTCTGGAGAAATAAAGGACTCAAAACCCTGATGTTTCTTTTGTTTTGCCTTGCTTTTTTTTAATTTTTAAAGCAGCATTTTTCTGGCAGTTCTGTTTTCTTTCTTTTTTTGTCTAGAGTAACATAGACTATAAATACAAAATACAAAATAAATATATATATAATGGCAACAAAAGACAAACCAATTAGCAATAAATTAACAAAATATCACAGGTGTGACAAATTTCCAAATCTCCATTTCTTTTTATCAGGAAAGGGAAAATATATTTCTCAATTTCTTCTGTTGGTTAGAGCTGCTATAGACAGTGAAATCTAGAGGTCAGAGCCTCCTTATTCCTGAACAGAGCCCTTTTTTGTGAATAATACATATGGAATCTACATCTTTAGTTACAAGTTACTGGAGTTTCTACTGCTTCTTTTAATAGTATATGCTGTTTAGCTGAAAAATAAGGATCAAGCTAACTTTTAATAATAATTGTTATATAATACTTCCAGTTTTTAGGTAAATTGTGGAGTGTTTCATCTCATTTTTTAAAATACTGAAGATATTATGTGAGGAATATTTTTGAGAAGAATGTTTAAGGGTTATCAAAACACAAGAAAATTTTCTGGTGTACTATTATGCATGTGTATTTCTCATGCGAAGCAGATCCATTATTGATTATGATTAAGGATATTCCTAAATTGTTGATCAGAAACTACATTACATTTTTCTCATCACCAAATCATTACTAAAAAAGAATCACGTTGACTCAAATAAAAATTCTATCCACTTCTACTCTTAATTTGCGTGAGTGCTGAAGCTTTAATCAAAGTTTTAAACAATATCCAGGTCATCTTAAATTATGTCTTGGCCCAATGAGAAAATAACTTTGTCTCATACAGGATGCCTTTCTTCTGCTCAAAAAATTATATGCAAGTCAGATTTAATACTTGAACTGTGACAACACAATTAGAATAATGGTAGACAATTTATATAACCTTGGAGTATCTTTTTCCTGTTCCTGAATAATTGTATCAATGGAATTAGGCAATAAACTAAATAAGAGGAATGTAACTTGCACTACTTTTTGGTAGTAAAATAAGAAAAATAAACGTGTTGTGCTCTAGTACAACTAATTCATCTTTAAAATTTAAATTTCAGACAAGATTAAAATCTCTATTCCTATGAAATTGTTATTCTGCCACATCCTGTCATCATTATTATCAAAACTGGCCACCCTGGAATCAAAATATTTTCTGTACTATTGGGATTACGTTCATTGTCATTGGTCCAAGCTGGATTATTTTTAATTCCTTAATATGTTCAAAAGAAAGAACCTCGGTCTGGTACTATGTGTGTGCCCTATGAGCATGTTTTTGTTCGGTTTAACTTTGTGGGGATCATCATCATTTCTTCCCTTGTAACATATAGATGAAGGTGCTTCCCTTCATCCCTGTGATGATACATACTGTGGTCCATTCCCTGAATCTGAACCAGAAGTGAAGGCTGTTGCTCATTTTCTTCGCAAACACCAGACTCAGATGAAAGCCTATTTGTCCTTTCATGCGTATGCCCAAATGCTATTGTATCCATACTCTTACAAGTATGCAGCTATTCCAAATTTTAGTTGTGTGGTAAGTATAGAGTTCAAAGAATTCTGCATGTTTGCATGCCAATTATGCCTTTTGACTTAATGAAGAGAATGTTCTTCTGAGTCCCATTCCTTCTTTGCCACTGAATAATTAGAAACCTCATCGGAATTCACATTTATGTTGTCCTATCCAAAATAAGGGAACACAGTTGGTATGGAGGGGAGGAGAAACACAGCTATTTTTAGATGAGCCAAAAATAATGAAAATTAGGTTTTTCAAATGACTGTATTCGTTACTAATTTTTCCAACAAATACATTCCATAATGATTTAAGGAATAGTGGCTTTGAAAAATTAAATCATATTTCATGGACAGATTTCAGGGACAAATAAATATATTTTACAATGGCATTGACATATAACAGTTCACACATTGCTTTATGTCGATACTGTATACGGTTCGATTGATTTTGGTTGTAATACAAGACTATAATCTGATTACTGTATCGTGGTTGGTAAACTGTGATTTTAGCTCCAGCTTATTGTATAGTATAGCCTACAGTGGTTTATTTAAAAATAATGGTTAACATGTAAATTCAGTCACTGTAAATCTGCAGGATTACAGTGGGAGGAATAAAGTGAAGGAGAAAGAGGAACCTTATTCTGTATAATGGCCAATATGTTATGGCCCATATATGGTCATTAGGTATACCATACAGATGTCCATTGGGCTGTATAAAAGATTTTCCACATAGAAGCAACTGGATCATTCTAGAACAGGTAAGGAGGTATCTTGCAGAAAGAAACTGTATCTTGCAAATTTGTATTATTTCATTTTATTATTAATAAATATACACATAATATATTCACACAAATACACAAACATCCATAGTTCTTTCCTGATGAGAGAAAAAGCACATATGAGAATTTACTCATAGTCACTGTGATTCTTTGACCTCCTTTTCAATTGTGAAATTGGAAGAAGCAATGCATTTCTTAAATGTTCTTTCAAGCCTGGAGAACTGTATAGTTGGGATCTCCCATAATTTGTATGGAGGAAGGAAAGAAAAGTTAATAAAACCAACATTCTTATTCTCATTTCAAGACTTTCCATGGCTTGACACAAGACTACCTTCTCAGTGTGTCAACCGTTTTCACCTTCTTTGCAAAATCAACAGAAAATTCCCTTTCCACAGATGGGTCTTGTCAGAACAATGTGCAAACCAATGCAATCCTTATATACTAACATTTTTTTAAACGTACTACTGTCCAGGAGCTAAACAGTACCTCACTATACATATACAGCCTGCAGCAAGAAAGCAAAGCTCAAATATTAAAAAAGGTTAGCTTTTTAGTCTAAGGCTAAGCCTTTGGGCAGACAGAAGGAACATGATGACAGAGAATAAGTGACAATCAAATATTGAGAACATTTGCACAAATAAGAAATCCCTAACTGACAATGCATTTATACAGGCAATTCAACAAAATTCAGTTTCAATTTATATACAGTATACAGCGACCTGCATTGAACAGCAAAGCAAGATCATAAAGAATTTTTCTTCCTATTGCTTCCCTTGGGATCAATTTCACAAGTTCCTCAGATTTATGTCGATGTTGGCCAGGAGACGAAAGCTTTTCCATGGACATTACCATCTAGCAAGGAGAGGATTCTTTAATAATTTGTGAGTTGAAGACAAACAGGCTTCTATCCAGCTTACAACACAGAATTGTGCTGCCAGTCACTCTCTGAATTAATGTGTTAAATTATTTAGGTCTTGGAACTGGAGAAAAGGAAATACAATTCTCAGTATACATGTTATCTAGTACAGGTATATCCTTTTGTTTATGTCAATTTTTTAGTTATTTGGAAGTTTTCATTCAATTGCTACAGTCATGTTACACTGGCCTATTTCACAGAGTGTATTACCTTATGATGTAGCATGTTTGGTTTGAGTTTTAATGTGCCGCATCAATGCAGCCATTGTGACTGTAAGCCAATTCAGTAAATTATGGTTAAAATAAACCATTGCTTAGCCCAATATGTGAAGTCATTCTGTGTACTGCAATTTTAAAAAAAGAATTTTTAAAAAAGAGCTTGTTGCCAATTTGTATATACAGTATCTGAGATAAAGTCTGGCAAAGAATCAGCAGCAGAGGTATTTCTGAGGCCATGCAACATTAAAAAGTTATTCTCTTTGTTAAATACAGCACGAAACGCTGTTTCCTCAAAATAAAAACTTTGATAGTCAAAACTGAAAAACAAGGTGTTTTTTTTTTTTGCTATACAATATCAGTATCACACCGTGACCCAAAGCTGTTTAGTTCTCAACTCCCCTTTACAAAGACCTGAGATTCAGAACGACTGCTGGGATTTTTTCAGCTCAGCTCATCAATCAGTAACATATGCATATAACCACTGAAAGAATGTGTCCAAATTAAAACTGAATTTTGCATTTAGGTCAGTAATTTTTAGTGTACTTCTCAACCCACAGATGTGGAACTGCAAGGAAATCTCCGTTTAGAAGCCTATAATATATATCTTCTTGAGAACAAGAGTGTTTCCCTGCAGCATAGTTATAGTTAGTTTTAAAAAAATGTGCTATTTCACTTCCCATTACATCTACATTTTTAGTTCCCCTAATTGTTTATATAGCTACATCAGCATATTGTACTTTATAAAGTTTAAGAAGCCATATCTTTGCCCTGAGTTTATAATTTAGTAAAAAGGAAATAAAGAGGAAAGCAGAGATGAGAAACAGGGTAGCAATGTATAGTTGCTATAGTTACAGGTTATTGTTGCAGTTTTTCATTCATTGATCTTTGGGTATATGAACTGAATTCAATGAAAAAAAAATTCAGAGCAGGTGTGAGGGACTGCATTTTGAGATATAGTTGGGCAGGCTGGGAAATCTTTTTGGGTTAAGAGACTGTATCAACTCATTGGAATAATTGGGGATTGAACAAATGTGTTATGATTAGACACTGGTGCATAGATTGGTTTCGCATATTTAACTAAGAAATTGTATACTATTTGATTTTTCTTAATATGGCATATGTAAATAGTCCTCAGGTTTCCAAACCATGCCATATGGGTTATTTGTGTAACAATTGAGTCAATGAAGCTTACCCCACAGAATATTGTAACGAAATGTGTATTTACCCTAATTATGTGTATTCACCCAATTATATCATGTATCCATTAGTTTGCTGTCACATTGCTTTATGAACATTAGGAAAATATTTTTTAACATAAGGACTACTCAATGATTCAAATATAGGAAAAATAATTCCGCTTCTAAAAAAATGATAACGAAAGAACAATCTTAATACTTACTTCATAACAGTAATTACAGCGTAACAATGCTAAGTGATTTAGGAGGAAAAGTTATAAAAAATAAACTGATTATCATGAATAGAAAATGTTAAGATTTATAGTTTATATGCTTTTGTCAATATATTTCAAAACTATGAGCCTTCACATGACGATGTACAAACATTAAATGGAGTATAATATGCACATAACTATTCTTAAAACAGATATACAAATCCTTCTAAAAATGAACAGAATCAAGAATATTTTTGACAGGAATTCATATTGAAATAAGTGTTCAAAGCTTATAAAAATAAATATTATGAAACAATGATGTTGGTTCTTCCTAATTAATTTTAGCATATGATGCAATATTTTTGAGTTTTTAAAGTGAAACAAATGTAAGCATCCTTTCAGATCACTACTAAGAAACAGAAGACTGTTTAATAAGTGGTACAACCAGTTACAAAGTAAATCACCATTTTGCACTTGCACATTTCTAGTGATTTTTTTAATATAAAAGCCAGCATATGTATTTTCACAATGTTAATTCTTTTAAGTAATATATCTTGCATCATGAGAGCATCATGCTATACAAATTCCTATTTTGAATTGTCTAGCAGCCTATAATTTTAACTATTTCACATGTTGTGAAATAGAGAGTAACTTTTCTTGAGATGGGCAGTTCTATAAATTTGATACATAAATAAAATAAAATTTAAAAAGTAAATTCTGTAACATATTTCTCTGCAAATCCTTTGCTTTTAAACAATTTTATTTTCTCATTTTTATGTATAGCCCATTATAAACATATTAAACTCTAGTAAAATAATGTACATACCCACAATCAAAACTGAAGTATAAAAGCTAGTTTAGACAACTCAGAAATAAGCAGCCTGAAAAATATAATGACAAGGGACAGGTAGCAAGCATAGTCTAAAGAGGCGTTTCAAACCAAATGCACTGCATTTACAGGAGAAAAAAAAGATGCAAACATTTGTATCTGAAATTTACTACAAACAAGGTATTGTATTTGATATATAGCAGTCACTGAATTTCTTTCAAAAATATTCCATTGTTTGTTTGCAATAAACCTGCGTATTAAAAGACCTGCATCCTGGATTACCATGTTAGTTTGTATCCCACCTTTATTATTTTTACAAATAAATCAATGTGGCGAACATATCTAATACTCTTTCTTCCTCCTGTTTTCCCCACATCAACAACCCTGTGAGATGGGTTAGGCTGAGAATGACTGGTTCAAGGTCACCTACTGGTTAAGGTAGTATTTGAACTCACAGTCTCACAGTTTCTAGCCTGGTGCCTTAACCACTAGACCAAACTGGCTTTCATATTGTTTTCAGTTCTAGTGTTTGGCACAAGAAGCCCGCCAAAGAGTTCCCATACATAACTATCTATATACTCTCTGTGTGTGTGTGTATCTTCATGGCACCACAGAAAAAAAAACAGAGGACCTGTTTTTCAGGCTTGACTGATTAGTTGATTGATTGCTGAGGTGTATAAAGTATTCTGAAAACAAATTATTACATGAGAACACCCTAAACCTGTTGTTCACATAGGCAGAATAATACTCTTGTTAAATGTGGTTAGGAGATAACATTTAAAAGTGAGCTGGAACCATAAAACCAGCTTCCCCTTTAGCCAAAGCGATTGAATGTCCTTGGCAGTGTTGGGCAGTCATTTTAATGTAATCTAAAAGAGGGGATAGAAAAGCTGGTTTTCCTTCTTAGACTTAGAATAATTTTATTGTCACTTTGAATGTACACTAATCAGCATACATTAAAATGAAATTTCGTTGCATATACCTCCAATATACTACATAAATATGACAAACAAATACAAAATTATGCATATACCCACTTATATGACACGGAGAAACAACACAATCTAATTTGGATCTAGTTTCTTTATATATGGCAGTAGAGCAAGAGATGCCCTCTCCAATACTTTTGTTATGCTGGTGTTGAAATAATATTCTCTCATACAGATCTTTGATGAATGATATGCATATAACCAGACAGGTATAACTTTATGCAAGGATATTCATGAAAATAATTAATGTATGGTAACAAAGGTAGAAGTAGGGGGCACAAGATGTAATAAGTTGTGAAGGATAAAATTTAAAAATGGGTAATCTTTGTCCTATAACATTCATTATGAAGAAGATAATATGCATGGGGTGATTTTTCTTTTTTCTTTGTCATCTACCAGGAATCTGCAGCTGTTAATGCTGTAAATGCCTTGCAGTCTGTTTATGGAATACGGTATCGATACGGTCCTGCTTCCAGAACTTTGTGTGAGTGTCTCTTACAAATTGGATTTTTAAAAAATAACTTGTTAATGATGCTTTAATAGAGAAAATGTTTTAAAATCTAAAATTATATTAAATGAAGAACATAATACTGTAGCACCAGTTTTAATGTTTGCAAGTTGCTCAGAGTTGTTTTTGAGATGGGCAGCACATAAATTCAATAAATAAAGTTAAATACCAACTATAAATTACTCCTGAACTCTGAATAATGGTTATGCTTTTAGCTTTTTATATCAATACGTAACAAGAACAGATTAATGCTGGGAAGATAAACAAGTAAGTAGAATTGCAGCTCATATATTCAATATGTTTGGTAAGAATCTTTTTTTTCTGTGTCATCCACAAATTAAGCATTGCTGTTTTATGCAAAAGATATGATTAAGGCTCACATGTTTACCTTGCAGTCCAAACAGACATGGCTTGGATTACACAATTTAGTGCAGAAACGCTTCTTTTTAATTTGTGCTCCTTTTTGCTTTTTTTTTGGCTTGGCCTTCAAAATATTCAAAAATATTTGATGAAACCTTGAGTGCAATGTATAGAAACACCCAAAAGTTATTACTGAACTGCAGATTTGTAAATGTGTAGAAATACTATATTATTAAATATATGGCTGGAGAATAATCAAATTATATTTGCATTTAAATGAAATAAAGTTGTATTTATTTTGTCCTTGCCCCAACCATGAATATTTGAAATCTGGCCTTCAATTAGTCTTAAACCATGTACAGTATAATCCTTGGTACAAAATCCTATTTGGAGTATTGCTCTAACTATCTGTTTTGAACAATATCATACACTTACAGAACTGTATGTGAGGAGCAGGAGTAATTAAACTTATTCGGTTGGAATTAAACAAAATATTGTTGGGGTTGAGCAAGGGTTTTTCCATTTTTCTTTTAAAAATGCAACTTAAATATAACCTTAGGATAACAGTGCTGACGAGAAAGCCACATATGACACTTTTAGTGTCCCATTTGTTGCCTTCTTGCAATTCAGTTCTAAATTTTGTCAGAGTGTTGTTTTTCCCCAGATGGAGGTCTCTGGAAAGCTTCTCTTTCCATTTCCACAATTCATTCTTCAAGCCCTAAAAATTGCCCCAAAATACTGTTCTTTTTTTGGGGGGGGGGTGTTGGGGAATTAAACATGAGCATGTGGCATTTTCTAATCCTAAAATAAGAAGCTAAAGTGCTCTGGGACTTTGGAATTCAAACCAACGGACACCTGCCACATAACACCCCAAGACTTAACAATTGTCAATAAAAAGACCAAAATGTCTGGATAGTGAAGGTGGCAGTACCAGGAGACAGCAGAATAGAAGAGAAATAAGATAATAATATACAATAGACTATGGCAAAAGAAAGCAAAGGTAGTACCAATAGTACAATCCCAAAACAACTGGACACCACTTGAATACCTTTGGTATTGACAAATTCACCATCAGTCAATTGCAAAAGTCAGTTTTTACTTGGAACAGCTTACATTCTAACATCAAACATCAGTATCTGCCTATCTCAGGTCCTTGAGAAAGACTTGATAAATAGATAAAAATGTCAAATCTAGTTGATTATCCTGCTGATTATGCAATGAACCATAATAATACAAATAATTTATTACTCAAACATCCACATCTGCTTATTCCAGGTCCTCGGGAAGAACTTGATAGGTGGATGAAAAGACTAAATCCAGGCTGTATATCTAGCTGGCCATGTAACAAATCATAATTGACTGAGAAGCCGTTAGCTCTGCTCTTTTCAGTGCAGTTACTCCGTGAGGGCCTTTTATTTTATTTATTTATAAAATGTAGACTGCCCATCTTACCTTTGCAGAACATTGGGAAACTGAGATCACCCATCAAATGTTGTAGATCCATGTATTAGCAAATTGTTTCCAAACTATTGTTTTTCTTTTTTTCCAGATATAAGTTCTGGGAGTTCAATGGATTGGGCCTATAAAACTGGAATCCATTATTCATTTGCCTTTGAATTGCGTGATACAGGTCATTTTGGATTTTTATTGCCTGAGAACCTAATCAAGCCAACCTGTACAGAGACAATGCTGGCTGTTAAAAATATAACCATGCACCTTCTTAAAAAGTGTCATTTAAGCATTGCAGACAAGTTTTAATTTTTTAAATTGTTCTTAAGAATACAGTGTGAAGTCACTCAAATATAGAATGTAGCATTTCCCACTAGTAGAACCCTTTGAAAAAAGAAATGACATTTTCTACAGATAAGAGATATTCAAATCTTTGATGTTCTAGCCCAGGCATGTCAAACTGGCAGCATCATGTGATGTGTCACAACTTTTTTCCCCTTCACTAAACCAGGCATGGGCGTTACTAGTGTGTGACACATCCAGGCTGTGGGCCGCGAGTTTGACAGCCCTGTTCTAGGCCATGTGATATCAGGATGTATGAAGGTAGAAATCCTCGAGTGTATCTAAATGATTATTGATGTAATTATAAAGGGTGGAAATGAGAAAAAGTAAAAAGAAAAATTTCAAGAGAGAAAGAAGCACCAAGGCTTTATTCAAACACATATCTAGCAAGAAAAGGAATAAATTGTGTGAAATTTTTGTTCAAAGGTGCTTTATCTGCCTAATTTATACAAGTTATGAATCTTAGCTTGTCCCAAAGAATCAGAATTTGCTCAAAATGTTGATTTTTGAACACTGAAAGTTAGTCAAAGCTCTAATATGTATAACCTAAGCTAAACCTTTTGCAATAAAGCTATTTTACTTCCAGTTGGGATCATATGCTTATTAACATTGGAATAAAATACATCATGCAGCAAAAACATTGGCAAGACCTGTGTATTAACCTCATGGGAGGAATATGCTGAGAATAGAGGATACAGTATATTCCTGTATGAATGTCACCAAAGAGCTACATTCCAAAATTAACCTTAAGATTGGAAACATCCTGATGGAATGTTTATCTATCTTACCTATTGCAATCGTTATATACTCTATTTTTTCATGTTCCAATTGTAGAAGAATAATAGCATTTATTTTTACTATTGAACTTTGAACTCCAGGAAACCTATTTCATTTACATTATATTTTAGAACTCTCCTTCATAGCTAGAGATTGAATAACCTTTATTGCTATCACCTTGGAAATGTCAGTATGAAGTCATTTGATTCAGTGTAGAAAATGGATAGTGTAAGATGTAATCAAAGGGTCAACTCACCCAATAAGTATTGCATTTCCCCAGGCACAGTGAAATGGAAGATCTACTGCTATATGGAAAATAAATAACAGCCAAAGCAGAGAAGCTCAGGTAGGCTTCCAGGCAATCTCAACCTCTGAAACTAGGACAGAAACAGCTATTATATAAGTATCTGCATAAGAATCAATTGGCTTCTCAGATCGCATGATATTGTATTGAAAAAAATGTAAAGTTTTGGTCATTTCAGCGTGGCACTGCATAGCCGCAGAAATTATAACCTCTCTCCCTGCAAGATACCAAAAGATGAAGTAAGGCATGCTTGTCAGTCTGGCTGGTTTTCAATCATGTATCACTTTCTAAATATAGTGTTTCTATATCATATCAGTACTGACTATCTTATAATAAATATGTACAATAATGGGTGGCTATATAAATTGAATAAATGTCTCCTATAATCCCAAAGGTGCTTTTCCAAAAGGCAACTGGATTTTCTTGGTTGATTCCTTGAAAATGTTTTGCTTCTTGTATGAGACTGCAGTCCCAAGAAGTTTCCACACCCATCTGCACTCTGACTCAGGTGACTGAGGATACAGATCAATCCCCAAGAACTCTCAAAGAGCTAATGACAAACTTCAGAGTGCTAATGACCAGAAATATAAATCTTTCCAGTTCCTACCATTCACTTAGAACTGAAGAAACTTTATCAGCTTCTCAAAGGAAACAGAGAGATTCTGAAATTATGCAGCAGAAGCAAAAAGCAGCAGATGAGAAGAAGACTCTTCAGGCAGGAGCAAAATAATATGTGGCTACAGAGAGGACCTAATAATGCTGCAGCATCTCAAAATATAGGGCCTAAAAAGACATATTTGTAAAGTAGCCAGCCATTAAATGGTTAATGTTTATCTTCTACTTGCTTGCTTGTCCAGTATGCATTTATTTTAGAATGTATAGTGTATTTGCAGCTGACTTGGCCTTGTCTGAATTATTAGAATCTGGTCCAATAAAATTGGATTTTAAGGTTGTATTTCCCTTTGCACGTCTGTTAGTCCCAGTAGCCAGAATGTATTTTATTGTTAAAATGTTTGCTCAATAAATTGCTTGTGTGATTATACCACTTACCGTATTTGCCGGCGTATAAGACGACTTTTTTGCCCTGAAAAACATGCCTCCAATTGGGGGGGTCGTCTTATATGCCGGGTCGTCTTATACGCCGGCAAATAGTAATTGGGAAGCACTGCGGCTGCCCGCGGCTGAGGCACTTTTGCGCACCGTGGAAACGAATCCTGTGAAGCCGAAAGGAGCAGCCAGCCTTCTCCCAGCTCCCAAGGAAACGAGGCTCGCACCGCCCGGGCTCCGCTGAGGTATCCGGCTGGGGCTGTCAGGAGTTGTTACCGCTGGCGCGGCTCCAGTCCCGCGTTGCCTTGGGAAGGGAAAGGCAAAACCAGGAGCCGCTGCTGCCATTGCAAAGCGCCGCCGCGGCTCTTCCTTTTTGCCTTTCCCTTCCCGGGGCAACGCGGGACTGGAGCCGCGCGGAGCCGCGCCAGCGGTAACAACTGACAGCCCCAGCCGGATACCTCAGCGGAGCCCGGGCGGTGCGAGCCTCGTTTCCTTGGGAGCTGGGAGAAGGCTGGCTGCTCTTTTCGGCTTCACGGGATTCGTTTCCATGGTGCACAAAAGTGCCTCAAAAAAAAAAAAGTGCAAAAGTGGAAGGCGTGCAGAAGAGGGGGCGAGTATATAACAAACTATATTTTGAGTGGAAATGTTGGGGGGTCGTCTTATACGCCGGGTCGTCTTATACGCCGGCATATACGGTATATATGCAAGTAAGCTAGGAAATGTATATGGCAGCACTCTTACATTCAGAAGTGATATTTTAAAAGGATAGGTATCTGTACTTGCTTTCCACTTTATAAAAGGTCAGCTGTAACGTTAATCATAAATTATTTTTATAATAAAAATATTGCATGACATATTGTCAGAATTGGGTACTCAAGAAGCTCCAATAGATTTTCAGTTATTGCTGGAAATACAACATAATTTAGAGAATCCTTTGTCGCATATAGCACAAATAACTTGCCTTTCATCATGTGTTCTAACTTCAATCTGAGTATTTAATACCATTCTTCAGTAATTGCAAACCAAGATTCTGTCTATGTAAAATTGCAATTAAAATCTAATTTGAATAAAAAAAAAAAGAACTGAAGAAACTTCTTGGATAAGAAGTGAAATATTTTCAAGGAAGAAAGTCCAATTGCCTTTTGGAAAAACACCTTTAGGACAACCATGACCGAGTCCTAGATAATTGAGAATCTCTATAGACATATCTCCTAAAATGGCAACATAGATACTATGCTGAATATAAATTGAGCATATAAAAGAACACCTGATAGTAAATGTGTATTTTGGCATTCTGCATCAGGTATGGTTAATCTTTTTAAAACTGGTACATAAGCAGCTGTAAAAATGTTCAATTTTATTTTGGATATAAATGTGTGCTATTAATCTGTAGATGGCCAGAGTTGATTTGACCGATGAAGCTGTCAAGTTCCTTACTTTATTCTTCCATGTATATTCCCCTGAGATGCATGCTTGGTGGAAGTGGACAACCATTTCCGATATAAATAGTATATGAAGAATGATCAAGAGTATATAACTTCACTTCTGTGCTAGAACCCTCAAACTCAACAATGATCAGCTTTCCATTTATAGATGACTGTTACTAATTGACCACTATATTTATGTTTGTACATATCTAAAAATAAATATAAAAATTGGGACTACTTTCTGTCTTGGCATTTTGTCTGGTAATATTTACTAAGGTTGATATTAGATAATTTTTCAGCTATAGTTCTATGAAAATATAGTTGCCATTGAAGACTGATTGCTGCTTAGAAAACTCCTTACTTGGAAACCCCCTTTCTGGGCCTTTCTTCCACCACCACCCTTGTCTAGTATCTGTTCTCTTCGCCATCTCTATCTTATTGTTTTCCTCTTTTCTTTTTCCTTCCCAGTACAGCTACTGACCCCCACCTCCATTTTTTATTTTTTGTATTTTTTTCTATTTCTACTAGAAGAGGAAGGGTGTGAATACTGTATATAAGTAATTTCTATGTGAGAACTTTAGGTTGGAAAGATGAGGAAGGTGATCGTTGAATTTTTTTTGGGGGGGTGGTGAGCTCTAGTTTTATACTAAATGCTTTTTGGAGATACAGATAGTGAGGCAAACTGGATAAATCATGAGTTGGATTACAGCATGATGGAATGATATGCAAATCTCACTCCTGAAAGAAATAGGCTGGATTTTAAAATAGAGAGCAAACTGCATCTTTCTTCTGGTGTGCCCTATTAAAATTTTTATCTATATCTATATCTATCTATATCTACCTACTATGGTAAACTATTCTGTTACTGTTGTATTTCAGTAGCTGTCCAATTCAACCCTGGAATATAAATATATATACATACATACATACATGTTTTCTGAGGTTCTCGCGGGTATTTGTATGTGGATCTTTGGTTATTCTGTTTTTCTCCCGCATAAGATTGGAAGTATCTAGGTAACGTTTCGATGAAGTCTCATTCATCATCTTCAGGCTTGTGTCTTCGGCTCTGTGCTTGCACTGGCACGAAGCCGAAAGCACCAGCCTGAGGATGGCGAGTGGGACCTCGCCAAAACGTCACCAAGATACTCTTAATCTTACACGGGAAAAGACCCAAACACACCGATACCTGTATGTATATATATGTATGTATAAGTACATTAAGCTTGGTTAATGTTAACTGTGATTAGATTTTGTGTTCCAGCTATTGTTTGAATGCCTAGCATATTTGGTTAAAGTATGGTTTTGTCTAACGGACAATCCAGAAAATAAATTAGTTAGATTAACCATGTTATATGAATACAACTAAAAGCTACCTACATAATGCTAAATCTCCCATTCCCATAATTTTTAATTGACAAAATGATGCATCATAAGGCAACAATGTTTGAACCAAGGAGCTTGGGTGGGGGTTTGCATGTGTATTGCATTATGGGTGCAGGCACGTGACGACAAAAAGGTTAGCCATTATTGTGCTATAAGATTCACATAGAAATTGCCCAGCCTTTCTGAGCATTTATACATTAAGAGCAAAATATAAGCACATTTAGCATCCCTGTAGAATTTACAACATAATAAGTGAGAAATGAATTCAATCACCTGGGCATGTTTGGTTAATAGGGTTTCACAGTATTTGGTAAAATGTAGTGTTTGGCTTTTAAAAATGCTATCTTCTATACCAATATCTTGCTATATCCCAAGTGTCCTTTTTTATTTAACTTCTGCCATGTTGGGGCAGGCTACTAACTTCAATCTGAAACTTCATATCTCTTTTTCTTTTTTGTGAGTTGTTTGGTTTGGTCATAATGTAAAGAAATTAGGAATGGTAAAAAAAATCCATATAATGCCAGCTTCTGCTCTACAGTCTGTTTCCAAGGGAAGAGGAAAACTTAAAATTAGAAGACTTGGGTTGACTGGACAAAATTAGATATTCAGCCAGAGGTTTAGATTAATCTCAAAAATTTTCGGCATACTGATTCATGTTGAATAACCAGATTCTGCAACTACATTAATGATAGTTGATAATCTTTTCAGAAGCAATTGGTATCTATGCAATGCAATGTAGGGAAAAAGCCAAAGTAATTTTCTTCCTTGTATAAACGAGCCTCTTTATACAATATACATACAGCACAGAGAAAACAAGGTTTTCTTTAAAAAAAAACCTATCATAGTCCATGTCCATCCTGTCTTATGAATAACTTATTTAGAATAAGAATCTTATCTATTTGAGTTTTCAAAGGATAAATAGGATTGCGCAAGAAAAACTGATCAATGGTTTCAAAATTCTTACCTAGCCAATTCCCAAACTCTTTCTTCTAGGTAGCATAATTTAGCAAAAAAAAAAAAAGTGATCTCCTTCACTCTTTGTTCATAAAATTTCCAGATACAAATTGGGCTATTCTGTTGCAAAAAGAAGAATGCAAACCTGCTGAAGAAGGTGGAAACATTTTACTTTAACATTCAAGCAGTTGTGTTACCCAAGTAACTCTGCTACAGGATATAGAATTCTATCACTGTTTGTCTTTCTATAACATAAAAACAAACTAGCTGGAAAAACTTTACAATATGTTTAACACACGTTTGCATTTGAAGACCGGCATCGAGTCCATATTCCAGTTTAATCAATCTGTTAATACTAAAGATGCCCTCACACGCTTCTGCGTGAATTTAATGTACACATACTTGTGAATTCAGGATTCAGGAATACAAGGCCCAGAAAAGGCATCCGCCTACAGTCCGCCAGACATCTAAACTACAAACCAGCTCCGCAGCCTTTCCTCGAAAGAAATACTTGATCACAAAAACACAATGTCCCCCAGCTTTGCTATATTCAGTTTACAGCCCAACTTAATGAGGAGAAATCCCAGCCTGGTCGAGTCGGGTTGAGTCCCCGATGCCGGTAAATTCTTTTCCATCGTGGGGCGAATAGGGCCGAAGGCGCAAAAGAAGTGAACCTCCAACCGCTTCTCAGTCGCCGGAGTGAAGGCGGCCTGGACGACGGAGTCTTCAGAGAAATCAAATATGGCGGGAGGCGAGCGGCCTGGCTTCCAATCACTTCCTCCCTCCCTTCTCCCTTCTCCCTGAAGAGGAATCCCAGGCCCCGCCCTCCTCGCACCTGCTGCGCGCGGGCAGCAGCCAGTCCCCGCTCCCCTTCGCTACCTTGCGCGACTGGTAGCGCCGCTATTTGCTCGCTCTCTCGCTCCCTCCCTCCCCCCCGTTCCTTGCGGCTGCGCCCTCTTTTCCCGGCCTTGAAGCAACAGCAGCTGTAGCAACCTCGACGCCGCTGCCGCTTCCTCCTCTGTAAACCACTCGGCTCCGGCCTTGACGTCGTTTCCTTCCAACATGGCGAGGACGGGAGGCTGCTGCTTTCGCCGCCGCCGCCGCTGCCGCTCTCGCTTCTGCCGCTGCTTCTAATGGAGGCTGAGGCAAACGGGCAGCGCTGCGTTCTTGCGAGACCCGATTCGTCCCTCCTCAGCGTCGAGCAGGGGCTGCGGTAGCCGCCTGGTCAGAGCCGGGTTTCGGTTTCGTCCGAAGAGGGGAGACCCTTTCCCGGGAAGTCTCCTCGGGTCTCAGCCGGCGGAGCCCTGAGAGTCACCCCCGCTCATCCTCCCCTTTCCCCTCACTTTCAGCGCGCCCTCATGTATGAGGGGAAGAAAACGAAGAATATGTTCCTGACACGGGCTTTGGAGAAGATCCTGGCCGACAAGGAGGTGAAGAAGGCGCATCATTCCCAGCTGCGCAAAGCCTGCGAGGTGGCTTTAGGTAAATAGGAAGGGGAGACGGGGAGGGGGAGGGAACAAGAGGGGGGAGGGAAACCGGGTACCTGCGGCGGGCAGGCTGGGCCTTAGACTTGAATAGGGCGGCTGTCATTGTAGGGAGAGGCCGGCCTGGGAAAGAAAAGGCGACAGAGGTGCCGGTGAGGGTGGTTTAGGGTGAAAGGGCTGCGGGCGCGGAGTGGGGCGACAGAGATGCGCCGCGGTCAGTTTTCGGCTGGATCCGGAGCCGGGAAGGGAGAGGATGAGCTGCCGTGGCCCTCCTGATACGTGAGGCCAGGCCTTTGTGATCTAGCAATGCGGCGAGTCACTCGAGGTAGATGCGGGGTTGGGAGGCAGGCGGGGGGAACCCCTGTAGGCTGTTCGCGTGTGTCTTGGGAAAGAACCTTGAGCGTAACTCTCGGTGAACAGGAAGAATATTAATTATCAATTAACCATCCGCCTCTTCCTCCCCTCCCTTGCGTCGACGGCGAAATATAATCGGTTGCCTTGACAAGGCTTGCTTTCTTTTCTTTTCTTTTTTTTTTAACCTCCTCCCTCGCTCATAAACACACCCTGCATGAATAGGCAAGGGAAGGTGTGTAAAGAGTTGACCTGGAAGAACAAGGCCGTCTGGGAGGGAGCAGGTGATGGGCAGCAAGGGGAGGGGGGAGGAAGAGAATGGAAGCTGAAGACAAGAAGATGATGGAAAAACAAGGGACAGTGATACCCTGGCAACATTAAAATTTGATACCTGATTTGAGAGGCTGTTGTGTAAGGAAAATGCATAACATCTGAAAAGGAGGTGGTGATGGAAGAGTATTGTAGCATACTAAAATGTGTTGTTTGGAAGGATTTGTGTTTCTTGTCTTACTGTTTACTTAAGCCACTATGGAAGGAAATATGAAACTGATATTTATTAAATATGGATTTATAAAACATACTGAATATCTGACCTCTCCCTTTCTTTATAGAGCTCTAATCTGCATTGGATGATCCTAAGAATTATTTTGCTAGCATTAAAGATATTATGCAGTTTGAATATTCTGTTAAGTGTTCTTTCTTTGATTAATTACTTCAAAGACCTCTTTCAATCTTTTGGATATTCTTATCAATGGATTATCTTCTAAAGCATCTTGGAAGATAATATATGTACAAATTTTCAGTACGCTCTTTCGATCTGCAATCTTATTTGAGACAATTATCTGTCCATTGACATTTTCGGTATGTTAATTGAAGGTTGAGATTTCTTCCTGACTTGGAGTCTCCTTGTTTTTCAGTGTGTGTTTCCATCTTTGGTAGTTTTGCAAATGTTGTTGTAATACTGCTTTTGTCACTTCTAATAGCTCTGTTAAAAAATTATTTTTGTCAAATTCCTTGCTGAGATCTTTTTCTTGGTTTTAGTTTTCTATCCAATCTCTCTGCTCTGCAAAGGGGAAGGGGAGTGATTTATCTCCTTTGCCTTACCATTCTTTCTCCTCCTTGGAGAGATTGGAAAGAGAGGGATTTCAGGAAAATAAGCTGTTTATGTGTACTAGACAACAAGCAGACATGAGCATTCTAAAGAATTCTCTATTTCCAGATCGTTAGGAAGGACTACCACTATGATTCTTCCTTAAAATTGGATAATAAAGATAGTGAATGTAGTAAAGCATTTATGTATATTTGGCTGTTGGCAATCGTTATTTGTACTGAGATCAAAAGGGGGAAATTCTTCCTTCAGTTTGTAGGATGGATCATCTTGATTTTCATTACTCTTTTGCTTTTGCCTGTTTTTCTTCCAATGCCAGCCTTGTTGCTTAACTACATAAAAGCAAGTTCTGATGGAGGCAAGGTTAATCCAATAAGAACTTAGTTCTGACCCACCTTCAACCCCAAAGATTTACTGAGTGTCTTTGGGCCAGTCATTCTCACTGTAGAATCCCTGAAAGGGTATTGTTATAGAGAAAAATAGGAAGAAGTACTATATCTGCCAACTCAAACTTCTCAATAAAATTCAGGATATAAATCAAATAAAAAAATACTATGTTAAAATTGTAAAAAAATTACTAGGCTGACTTTGCTGAGTGATATGTAAAAATAAAGTGTTATATTTTTGCCTTTGGAGAAAAATCAAGATTACAATGATTACTAGAAATGTAGAAATGAATCTACATAATAAATTTGTATATACATTGATTGAGTATACAGATCATTATGAAAATCTAATTAAAGGTGACAAACACATTTATAGAATTAGGCTGCTAACTCATCCTACATGTATAGGTTGTATAAATCTTACAAAACCAGTTAGCTTATACCTTCAGGCTTGCTTTACTTTTTCATATTAGAGGAAAGATATTGACTGTGTTTAGAATGTAGAAAGGGTATAGATTATGTACTCTCCTTCCTTCCCGTTACTTAAATATTCATTTTAATCTGTATGCTGTTCCAATCTTCATGTTTTTTACAGTTATATGAAAACTGGATCAACAGTCAATAAAAAACAAAGCATTCCCATGAGTTTTTTTTAAAAAACAAACAAGCAAACCTTGAACTTGAACTCATTGGGTGAAGGAAAACCTACCACTACTTTAATTACAATACTGTTTGAAATGCTAGGAAACTTTTTCTAAGATTCAGTTGGAATCTGCTTTTCTTTAAATTAAATCCTTTATTTCATGTTCTGCATTTGGTATATTAGAAACTGAATTTGGTGATCTCTCCATATAACATGTCTACGGAGATTCTCAAACATCCAGGTTATGGTTGTCTTGAAGGTGCTTTTTTCAAAAATAACTGGACTTTCTGGGTTTTTTTCTTTGAAAACATTTCACCTCTCCCAAGAAACTTCTTCAGTTTTAAAGAAGTTTCTTGAATGAAAAGCAAGACACTTTGAAAGTCCAATTGCCTTTTGGAAAAGCACTTTTGGAACTCAATATAACATCTTTTCAGTATTAGAGTTCTCTTAGTCTTTTCTTCTCAAGGCTAAAATACTCAGTTCCTTTAGTCTTTCTTCATAACTGTATGTATCTAGTCTCCTGATCATTCCCATTATTCTCTGAATTTGCTCCAGTGTCTCTGAATTCTTTTTAAAGTATGTTCCCAGGATTGCATATGGCACTTGAGGTGATTTGTGATCCATGTAGAATAAAGTACAACTTGGACATTTGGAAATTGTTTTGATGTAGTCTAAATTTGCATTTCCCATATTATACTGCTGAAGTCTTCAGTTTGCAATCAAATATTATTCCATCATCTTTTTTTTACAAGTCCAGTCAATAAGAAAGATCTCACTTTCTATACTTGTGCACTTTATTTCTGTTGAATTAATAACTTGGCATTTTTCTCTGATGGTTTCAGTCTATTCCTTAATCTAATTTTACATTTTATTCCTATCTTCTAGATTATTAGCCATCCCACTCAGTTTTGTATTATATTTATCTTTAGTTAGCATTGGTTTCTCCTCTTAATCCTCTTGCAGGTAGTCCTCACTTAATGACCCTTACTGGGACTGGAATTTCTATTACTATTGGAAGGGTTGTTAGGTGAAAGGTGATTGCATCATTTAGTGATGACAGTTCCAGTAGTTCCAGTTTTTGTTGTTAGTCCAGGATTTCATGCTTCTCCTGATCTGTGTTTGCCTCCACTTCAATTCCCCGAAACACCTGTCTCTCCCTCTTCCCATATCTGACTTTTTTGCTTTTCTGCACTCTGCCACATACCCCACTGTCCCCAGCTGACCTTTGCTGAAAGTGCCCTTGGAGAACTGGCCTACTGGCTTCAATATATTGGAATATGCTGGCTCTTCACAAGGCTTTGCAAGAGGAAAGCTGGCTAAGAGTGAACAGAGGGCCTGCAGTTGGTTTTTTGGTGCTGGGTTTGTCTCCACCCTCGCTAAAGCCCTGCAGGCTGGCACTTCCAATATGACCTGAAGAGCTTGCACCTCTGGGAAGGTATCTTTCTTCCCTTTCTTCAAGTTCTGCTGCCACTCTGAATAATGCCTCAAGCACAGTTTCTACTTTCACCTGGGGAGCCACCTCTTTTCCTGCCTTGCCTGGTAATCAAGTGTGCTGCACTTCACCATCCTGTCCCACAACCTCCTTCCAGGCCAGGCCCACAAGCTCCCTATAGATGAAATGCTGTTACCATGTTATGCTCAGTGCACACAGCCAGTGGCTGCATGCTCACCCAGTATCTGGATTCTGGGCCAGCAGCAGAGGAAGAAGACAGCAAAGAATTAGCTGGCAGTGGAAGTGATGTGTCTGTCTGTCTGTCTGTCTGTCTGTCTGTCTGTGTGTATTGAAATGCCCCTGCAGTCGAAAGTACACATGGGCTTCCAAGTGCCCAAATTTTTATAATTTGATCACATTGATGCTGTGACAACCATACCTTCAAGGACCAGTTGTAATTATTGTTTGTTCACTGTGCCATCACAGTGCCATCATATAACAAATGATCATTAAGCAAAGACTATCTGTAATGATACAATTACTGAAGAATAAAGGTTCAGAAGAGAACTTTGTGGTATCCCATATAGTACTTTATTCCAATTTAATGAGAACACAATAAGTACTCTTAAGTACTATGTATCACTATATTATATGTTATGCTGTTCTCTGCACGCTTGACAAAAAGGAATGGGATAGAATATCAGATGCTTTCTGTAACCAAGATGTTGTTGCATCTTGCTTTAATGGCAACATATTTTTGCTATTAAAGGTAATACCTATTCTCAAGTAAAAGTTTTAATTTTGCAGAACAGAAGTTTTCCCTACTATTATTTTTATATAGTTCTTAAATGTTTTCCTTAGCATTTGTGATCATTTGCTCTTGCAGTCCTTTTTTTAAAAGGCCATGATAAACGTTTTTAGTCCAGTCCTGACTAACTGCTCTTTAGTCTATGAAATTGGCCATGTAAAAAAAAATCTAAAGTCTGTAGGAATGATGTTTTTGCTGTGCTATCTGAGGTTTTATTGGTATAATTTAGATGCCTAATGAAATTTCTAATTACCAAATTTAAGGCTTGTT